CCCCTCCTCAATTCCTGTCTGGAAGTAAATTATTTTCCTCCCTTTTGAATGGTTCTGGATAAAATTAAAAAGAATAATAGAGAACGGAAGACATTAAGACCTCAGTAAATATTTGTAGCATGGAGATTAGGGGCACAGGTCAGAGCCAGTGTTGTCACTCTCTACCTTGTAGGACTGTTTCCTCATGTGTCAAATGGGGACTAATTACACCTACCTCCCAGGGTTGCTGTGAAGAATAAATGAGCTCGTTATACCACAATCATAATGATGCTGGTATTTACTGATCACCTGTTAGATGCCAAATACCATGGGTAGGGTTTTGAGGGGGTTATCTTACCCACTACGCCATATTGTACTCACTCATATAGTCGGTGCCTAATAAATGTTATCCGTTATACATACGATGATCATTAACATCAACAAAACACAAGGAGCCAGCCTGCATTTCCGTGGTGACATGTTTGTACCATAATGCTCCCTTTCACAAAGCTGGTCCAAACTCCTCACCACTCCCCTACCCCTCTTAAGACTCTCCACTCCTGGCCATGCCACATCTTTAAATCCTACTGCTCTGAGGTAAAGATGAGCAGATTCAGAGTCTCTGGGAGGTCTGGGTGGATCCTTCCATGTGGGTTGGCCTTGGATTACAGAACAAGCTGCTTTAAGCCTCATGGTCTAGCATTAATTTCCCCATCGTTGAAATGTGATCAGATCAAGATCCCATTACCCATTTGCTAGTAGTTTAGGACCCTGGGGACAAAGACTCTTTGAAAACACAGAGCATGGTGGTTTCCAGCCACTCCTTGCTCTCCCCTTCTGAAGCTAAGACAGTGGTTCTGGCTGAGACTCAGGGCAACAAGTCCCAGCAGTCATTGTGCTAATCACAGGCCAGCATAGCACACGGCACATGGTGGTGGGTCCTCTAGAAACCATCTGTTGGAACTGAAGAGAATTCACGATGTTAACCAAGGTCTTGTTCCCTATGTCTGCTATAAAGAGCAATTCAGAGACCAGCTGTCACCCTCTTTCCTTCCAGCTACTCCAGACCTGGAATCTGGAACTCAGTGCTGTATGCCATTTGTTTTCCTTTAGAAATTAAAAAATTATACAATTGGTGCTAGTTTATGCATTGTTGGCACTGTATTTCCTGTTCCTTCCATGGTACTCTCCAGAACATTTTCCCATTTTATTAAATGGTACCCTAGAATCTTCAAGGCCATGCTGAAGTTTGGGGATCAAAACTTCTAAAAATAAGTAGAATTAGATCACTTATTCACAGACCATAGAGAATTTTATGTCCTCAACCCTCCTCCCTTTGTCCCTGCCTCCAACGGATAGGCTTATCTCTCCAAACCACTTCCTGAACTCTAAGCTGTATCTGATGCCAGGGCTGAGCAGCAGAAAGAGCTTTGGAGGTGAGGTACATGAAAGGTGAACTTGAGTTCTCATGAAGAGTGAGGTAGACCCCAGCTCAAGTACACTTGAACCCCTCATTATAGCTTCAATTTTATTTTGTTAGTTGGAAGGTTTTTGAAAGAGGCTTTAAGGGACCTGGAGAAACGTTTCAGTTCCTGCCTGGAGTATAACTGATCAGAATCAAAAACTTCTGTCCTACCATTTCAACTATTTAAAATGTAGATTTGGTACGAAAATACCCAGCAATAGAAAATCTACAAAACTGTGTCTAAACCTAGCTGTGAAAGGACAATGTACTTGGGGAGAAATCAAGATTCCATGGAATGAAACCCCTTGAAGTTTTTGTTTGGCTTTTGAGACAGGGTTTCACTATGCAGCCCAGGCTGGTCTCAAACTCTTGATCTTCCTGTCTTAGCCTCCTGAGTGCTGGGATTACAGATATGTACCACCACACTCATCACTCTTGGGTTTTTGAGGAAGATGAGACATTAGGTGGTAGGAGGCAATTGCTGATGGAGAGGAGTGAGGAGTGTCAGAGCAGCCCATTCCAGCTCCCAAAACTTCTATTTTGGCTTCTTGTAAATGCATTCTTACTGGACATCTGCCGTCTGTGATCAGATGGGTCACTCCCATACCTGACCCTGCACAGATTCTTGAGAGAGGCCAAGTGGCAAGTTACAGTGTGAGGACCTCAGACTAATTCCTTCTACCTGTGTCTCTACTGAGTCTTTCAACTTCTTCATCTTTCAAGTAGCAATTATTTTCCACTTCAGGGTTAGAATGATTGTGAAGATAAGGTCAAATAATGACACTAAACACTTAAAACTAAAACAGTATCAATGAAAGCACTAAATATCATGAAATATCAGGTAATATTATTCCAGTAGTATTTGTACCTTCCTCTTGACCCTTGCGAGGTTGTGTCTAATGTTATTTGTTTATTCCTTCCTGGGTGATGCTGTTCTCACTTTGAATTAGGTTTAGAGTTATTTCAGGTGGACTTTTTCTTGCCTTAGCTGTTGTCTCTCTGGTACCTTCTATCTAGTGACAGCTTACTCAGTACTTGTTGAACTGGATCACTTGAAATAAACTGCTATTGTCAAACTTTTTCCACCACCCTGGTACTAATTGAGAAAATTCTCAAAGATTTTATTTTTTAAAAAAACAACCCAAGAGAATAAGCAGCACAGCGTTATCAAAGAGCTGACATTTAATGGTTACCCTTTTAACTAGCTCACTTTCATATGAAATGTGAGAAATACAAGTTTAGATGTAGGAAAAGTCATATGTTAAGAAGTTAAACTTTAAGAACCAAATTTTATGAAGCCAGTTGAATGCACTGAGGGGGTAATAAGAGAGAAATAGAACACACCTATGAATTGTTTATTTAAGTTCACATTGGAGTGTTTGGGGTCCCTTCTAGGATTTCCTGGAGCCCTGTAGACTGTTACTCACTGTTTGCATATGCATATATAAAAATATACCATCTATAAATAGCCACCTGCCTTTTCAGTGAAATTAAAGATGAGTGTGTTAGAAGAGGTTTTCCCAGTATAATTATAGGACTCAAACCTGCAGCTGTTACATGATTGTAGTCCTACTCAGAGAATTTCTAATATCACAATCTTATATCAAATACATTAAAAAATTGAAATTAATATGACAAATTTTTTTCTTGTTAAGATTTCTCACATATCTACTTAAACAGATGAGGTATTGTGTGGGATTGTCGGGTAGACTTTTATTTTATAAACTGCAGAAAGTTTATCTGGGGATTAACGCCAAACTCCTGCCAACATTTTTTTCTTAAATTCTATACAAGCCCTTTAACAAACACTCTCCCTCACGTATTTTCTGCAAAATGTACTGAGTTAAGAAAAATCTCTGAGCTTCTAACATTCTTAGGTAAGAATCACTTTCAGAAGGAGGCATTACCAGGTGAAGGGAACTAAATGAAGACTTTTATCTTTGCTTACCAAAAATCAGGTAGCAATTTCTTCACATGCAGTCTTTGTTCACCCGCTAAAGACCAACACTCTTCAATCTTTAAGAAAGATTGATGGGGGTGGGGCGGGGGGGAACCATTCTTAGGAGCAGCCACTAGGCTCTCTCCCAGAAGGGTTCAAGTGCCTTGAGCAGCTAATTTGCAAGAAAAAAAAAAAAAAAAAAGCCAAATCAAAACAAAACAACAAGAAACAAACCACATTGGGAGGCTTCCACCTACTCTAAAAGCAAACATTCTTCACAGGCAGCCTTAGTCCCTTGTTAAGAAAGGCATGCTTTAAGCTAAAGGTGTCATTTATGATCGAAAACTGATAAACCTTAAGAGACTTGAAGTTGCTGTTTTCTCTTCCAGGATGCCAACATCTTCACAGGTTAGGATGACCTCATACCCATTGTGATGTTCAAAACCCTGGCGGCTCAGAAAGAAAAGCTGCTTTGCACCTAGTATTTACACATGGGGGGACTCGTGGGGAGATGGCTTCCTCCTCCTGGAGAGAACTGTCACTGGTTTTTATTCCTTGTTTGTAAAACAAGCCTGTTAATGAAAACAAAAACAAAACTGTTTCTGTTATGCTTTAGAACTATAGAAACTTCCAGCCAAAGCCAGGACAGGAGAAACAGCAGCATCCAGTCTGCTGCAGGGCCTCCAGGGCTGCTGAGGAAGGAGTTGGCTGTTTTAAAGCCAGGAAATTGGCACCTGAATTAAACAAGAGGAGCGAATGAAAAAACTGGTAAGGCTGGGAACGGGGAGTATAAGAATGCCATAACCATTTTCCTGAGGGGCCACCGCGAGGGCGTCCCTGCTTCATCTGATTCCAAAGTTGGCCTCTTCTGTAAGAGCAAAGAATAGCCCAGTGGCTTCTGAGGCCACTCCAGGGTCAGGCATGGAGTCTGTTCCTGCCTGTGCTGCTGAGTCATTGCCACCTCAGGATGCTGCTGGGCCTCTGCTTCAGTTTACCTGGAAGGTAGAATGAATCCTTTAGCTAAGGTCTCAGCTTCTGCTCTTATCTGAAGCATCTAGGCTTTCCCTACAATTTGAGCCTATTAACAATTTAGATAAGGTGCATTACAATACAAAAATCCCAACTGGTACACACACTCACTTTCTCTCTCTCTCTCTCTCTGTCTATCTCTATCTCTGAATTATCCCCAAGGAAAAACCACCAGAAAAGCAGAATATACCAAAAATATATTCTAGTCCTCTTTCCAATATAATATAGACTTCATCTCCTAAGAGTAGTAAACATAGATCAAAGAGCACTTCTCTAAGAAGATGTGTATTCTGTATCTTCAGAAGGTCATCCAAAGCCTGATGTGAAAAGGCTCAGGGGTATGTGTGGTGGGGTGTGTGGAGAGGCAGGAAGCAGCAACAATGGAGAAAAATTAAAGGATAGTCAGAGAGTCAAGACATTCATTACACTGTATTTTTAAAAGGCAGAGGGAAAGACCTCAGTAACATACACCATCCTCCTTTATGTGTGTGTGTGGGGGGGGTGGGGGTGGACACAAGCCCAATGGTAACCCATAACATCAAGTTTTGGTTTAATATCACAGGAATAGTAAAATAAACGTTCACTTTGTATTTTTTAAAAAATTTATTTGTGTTCTGTACATGTGATAAAGTAGGGCGTCACTGTAGACTTTTAAAGGCAAAACAAAACAAAACAAAAATCCAAAGTAAAAATGTATAAATACAATATATATTTTCTTACAAAATGGGAGATTTACAAAATATACATACTGCACTTGTCTTTATTTTACAAATTTCACATGCACTTAAGAGATATAACATAAAAGATGCCAAACCTGTGTAGTGGCACTTAAAAAAAAAAATCTAATAGGTGAATCAGTTTTGAAAGTTTATGAAACAAGATCAATTTGAACTTGAATGTAAAAGCAGCTCTTTTCAGCTGAAGGTTACCCACGTGTACTGCCCACAGAACCCTCTGATTGGCATTTAAAAGCTGTTCTGAGAAACAGTGTTGCAAGACTGGAGAGCAGTGTCAAAGGTGGAGTAATGGTTAGCTCCCGTGATTCTCTGCTCAGCTTTACACCACTGTGCAAAAGAACGGGAGTTCTATTACAGAAAAAAAATGTACGTGATTTAACATTAATAAATTTAAGTCTTCCAGCACATTTCAAAGAACTCCAGAATCACTTTGAAGTTTACCTTCGTTTAATGACTTTCTTTAAAAATGGGGCCCAGGGTTCACTTTCCTCTTCCTTCTCTATCATTTCTGCAGAACACCTCCCTACCCAATGAGAGACAGAATCAGCACACACATAATGTCTTATAAACAGATTTATGGAACCAAGAAAAAAAATGGGCAAAATGGTGCTTTCCCCTTTTAAAATTTAACTTTCATTTATTATACTTTTGTTTTATCTTGAAGGATCCAAATTGAAGGGAAAAAATAGAAAATCTAAATGTAGACTTTATAACAAGGAAAAAAAAAGGAGAGATTACCCTAACCATTTTAACAGAGCCTGTTGGTCATGTGTTCTGAATTAAATGTGTTCAAAACAAAATAAAATCCCTTGCATTTCCTTTATCCAAGTCAGAACCTCTAGGTGAATGGGTAGGGAAGCACATTGCCCCTCACTTTTCCTTAAAAAGGAATGTTTATCTCAACCAAATTTACAATCAAAGGGAAACCTCAGGTTTGCACTGCTTTGCCTATGATAGTTGCTGTCTTCACAGTTATGCCTTTCTACATGGAGACACTTTTGTTTCCTCTTTTGTCTCTTACAACAAAGACAAGGGGAAAAATTCATTTCTGTTTTGAAAAGCAACAAGTCATCACTTCTTTTCAAGGTATTAAACCAAATAAAACTTCCTTCTCTCTGCCTCCTTGCCTTCCCTAGAAAATGAAAAAGTAGCAGAAATACCTACTACTCGTTTTCTTGGCCTCATCTTGAAATGTTACCATCATTTCTTTTACATTTCACATTAGGATTCTAGCAGGCAGGCCTCCCAGGACTTCCAAATGCTTATTTTACAAGACTTGAAAGGAGTAGGGGAGGAAAAACAGGCCGGAGGGGGTAGGGGAGGAGAGACTGTAATGTCTGACCCTGGAAATTAACCCATCTGGGCTCCAGTTTGGCCCCAGTGAAAAGAGATTACGGTTTGAACACCGCTTGACAAGGACACCGCAGGGGTCCTCTCTCTTCCCAACAAAGCCGCTGCAGCAGACAGAGCGGTACCTTTTCCCTGGGCCTCACAGGAGTGAGGACAGCCACTTGTCTTGCAGCAGGAGGATTCTTCATAGTCCCAGCACAGCCCCGGAGCCCGAACTCGTGGCAGCCTCTGATGGTCTCAATCTTCTCCATAGGCCCGTAGTCGGCTCATACCTTTCACAATAAACGTCATCATTATCATCTTTCTCTTCCTGCAAGTCTTTGCTCTGTCTTTTCATCCAAACCACCCTTCACCCCAAATCTCTTCTCACTTTCACGTCAATTCTCAACGGAGAGAGTAGGCTACAGAAACAAGCCTCCACCACCCAACCCTGCAGCTCTTTCCCTACCGCGCCTCTCCCCTGCAGGAGGGTAGGGTAGCAAGGGTGGGGGGAGGGCCGGGGCTCATACCGCAGTCTCCCCCTTGCTGCTGTGGCTGAGTCTGTGGTAGAAGCGGCGCCACGACTGCAGGGTCTTGCCAGACCAGATCCAGAAGCCAGTGGTGATGCCCACGATCATGGTCATGAGGTACTTGATCATGAAGACGGTGAAGTCGGGACTCATGGGTGGGAAGTGACTGGGCGGGCACGGCACGGCGTAGCTTTTGCAGGTCTGCAGAAGCCAGGTGCGCTCCCAGTGCTCGCGGAAGGCTTGCTCGTAGAAGTAACAGGCCAGCACTATGGTGGCTGGCACCGTGTAGAGCACGCTGAAGACGCCGATGCGCACCATAAGTTTCTCCAGCTTCTCGGTCTTGGTGCCATCGTGTTTCATGATGGTGCGAATGCGGAAGAGAGACACGAAGCCGGCCAGCAGGAAAGACGTGCCGATGAACAGGTAGACGAACAGAGGCGCCAGCACAAAGCCCCGCAGCGCGTCCACGCTCGAAAGGCCCACGTAGCACACTCCACTGAGCAGGTCCCCATCCACCTGGCCCATAGCCAGGATGGTGATGGTCTTGACGGCCGGCACGGCCCACGCGGCCAGATGGAAGTACTGCGAGTTGGCTTCGATGGCCTCGTGGCCCCACTTCATACCGGCCGCCAGGAACCAAGTGAGTGACAGAATGACCCACCAGATGGAGCTGGCCATGCCGAAGAAGTAGAGCACCATGAAGAGGATGGTGCAGCCCTCCTTCTTGGTGCCCTGCGCCACCGTGCGGTAGCCGTCGTCCGAGAAGCGCTCCACGCACACCGCGCGGTCCTCCAGCAGGAAGCCCGCCACGTGCGCCACGGCCACCATGAAGTAACAGCCCGACAGAAAGATGATGGGCCGTTCTGGGTAGCTGAAGCGCCGCATGTCCACTAGGTAGGTGAGCACGGTGAAGAGCGTCGAGGCGCAGCACAGCACCGACCACACGCCCACCCAGAGGCGGGCGAAGCGCCTCTCCTCCTCCTTGAAGTACATCAGGCCGTTAGCACGACCTGGCTCGCAAGGGGCACCGCAGTCGCGCTCACCTAGAAAGCGGTAGCCCAGGTAGGGGGGCACCTTGAGCTGGCGTGGACACGAGAAGGGGAAGGAGGAGCGGCCTCTGCCATCTGAGGCCCCCGGGGGCAACGCAGTGAAGGGCAGATCGGGCAGGTAGGGCGCAGTAGGGTAGGCAGTGGGACTGCCGCCCGCGCCCCCGGAGCCGTCGGACGTGTTCTGGCCCACGCAGATCTCGCCCGCGCCATGCACGGGGAAGTTCTCGCAGCGCAGCCGTTCGGGCCACTGGAAGCCGAATTTGTTCATGAGCGCCTCGCAGCCTTGGCGGGCACGCTCGCACAAGGAGCGGCAAGGGGGTATGGCCTGATCTAGCACAGTGCACACAGGCGCGTACATGGAGCACAAGAAGAAGCGCAGCTCGGGAGAACACTGCACCTTCACCAGTGGATAGAACTGATGCACTTCGAGACCCGCGTCCTCTTGGTTCGTGTGGCCCAGCAGGTTGGGCAGGATGGTCTGGTTGTAGGCGATGTCCGTGCACAGCGGGATGGAGATGGGCTGGCAGAAGCCGTGGTCCGGCACTGAGATGCCCTTCTCGCCGTGGTAGGGCTGCGCCCCGGTGCCCGTGGGCAGCGTGCCCAGCAGCGCTAGCACCAAGGCGCACAGGCCCAGGCGCGAGCGCGACGCCGTTGCGCGGGCACCCCGCATCTCCTGTCGCTGGTGCCGCGGCATTCTCAGCTGGAGGAGTGAGACGAGGCGATTGGGAGAGGCTTGGATGCGGGGAGGCGCCGCCGCGCCCGGCGCATGGGAGTCCGCCAGGCGCCGGGGCCGGGCCGTGGGCGGTGCGGTGCCGAGGGCGCTGCCGCTTGGGGTGCCTGCGCCGCGGGGGCGAGGCCGCCAGCCGCGGGGGCGCCGCAACCGCCTCCACCTGGCTCTCGCGCGACAACCGGGGACCCAAACTAGTCCGCCTGGGCCGGGGGCTCCGAGGGGGGCCCGCCTTCCCCTCTCCGCCAAGACGTAACGGTGCGGCTTTCACGGCGGGCAAGGAGCAACAAGCTTCTCCGGTTACCCTTTAAAGTTTGCCCAAGTCCTCGATCCCCAGCGCACAGTAACGCGCACGCCCCCCACACCAAGTCCTGCCCCCGCCAGCCCAGAGCCCGTCGCCGCCGCCTGCTCGCCCGAGCCGCGGCCTCGGCGGTGCTGCTCCGCCTTCTCGCCTCGAGGCTCCGCTGGCCGCCGCCTCCTCCACACCCCGCGCCTCCTTTAGCCCCAAAAGCTCGGCACCAAGTTTCAATCAAACGGCTGATTCTCGCGCTGAGTCCGATCGGCGCCTGGGCGCCAAGAGCTAGGCGACTTCTGTTTTGGGAATCCAGTTACACTGCGTCTGAAGCTGAGAGGCCCTTGCGCCCGCGGCCTGGACCCAGCCTCTCCAGTCCCGCGCAGCCCTGGCCCGCGAGTCCCGGCGCCTAATGCCGCCGCCGCCGCCGCCGCCCGCCGGGAAGGAGCGCCGAGTAACGCCTGGGAGCTGCGCAAGTGGCCAGAAGAAGCATCGGGCTTGCAGGGTTCCGGGCCGTCCCGCCCCCTCCCCTCCCCCCATTCACAAACCACTCCGGGGGCGGGCCCCGAGTCCCCGGGAGGCCCAATGGAGGCCTTTGTTTTCTCTGGGGCCGCCTCTCCATTGGGTGGAAGTCGGAAGGGGCGGGCGAGGGAACGGGGGAGGCGGTGTCTGCAGCGCTCTGGGCGGATTCCTGAGGGGAGGGGTAGGGGACTGGGAGGGAAAAGTTAGGAAAAACTTTTACCCTGAATTCGCTCAGGGGAGAAAAACGCACCAGAAAGGGAATTTGCTTGAAAGATTTGCTCTCCCGGGCATACTAAAATACACATTCTTGAGCAGAAGGGTGCATTTGCCAAAGGATTTTGCGAAGAGCAGCTGAGAATAGCGCAGCGCCTCGGCTGAGCCGTGACCCAGAGTCACGTTAGTCTTGCCTGGGCTGGAAAGGCTGGATCTGGTGGGGGTGCTTTTGGTTAGCTGGATCCCCGCCCGCGCGAGAAGGGGTGCGACTTGCGGATCGCTTTTTCTCTCTCCAGACCCCTACAGACCACGTGAGGCCACATCTCACCCCCTCCCCCAGTTGTAAAGAGGAGGAAGGGCCGCCTCCGAGGAGAAACCGGAGTCGGCGAGGGGTCGATTTCGGGCGGGAGGAAGTGCAGACCCTGGAGAAGAGGGCCAGGAGCTGGGGGCGCGCTGGATCCCCTCCCGCGCCCGCGGCCCAGAGCCCAGCGAGTTGGTGTGGCTTTGGTGAGCTTTCAAGACAGCTAAGACAGCGCTGAGAGTAAACCTGAGACCGAGTGCCCAGGAACACTCTGTACGATTTGCAGAGCGTCTTCGGTTGCCCGGTTTTCCTTAGTGCTACCAAGTGTGGCCTTTCGGGATTCCATCTTCCTTGCAAAGGCAAATCATTTGATCCTCCGTTTAGAGTCTGCGTTGCAAAGTTTTAATGCATATTAGAACCAGGGCATTTGCTAATTAAAGGGCTTTTTCAAAACACAAAGAGGGGGTATTTTCCTTCTCGGGTAGCGCTTTCTGATTGGTAAGCGTTCTTTTGTTCTCGGTCAAATCTTCGTCCTACTCCAGGCACTAGGCGTTCGCACGCGTTCTCTGGTCACTCCTGACGGGGTGGAAGTTACCAAGTGGCCTCTCCCCTCTCTCTGGGCAGCCAGGAATATCATGAATTCCCTTGTAGGAAAGTGACATGTTAAAAAAAAGAAAAAAAAATCTCTTGCGTGCAATCCTACACTTTTATTTATTTTTAAAAAGACATTATTTCTGGCCAAGCTCTTCTGCCTGTCTCAGTTCGGGGTGCCGGTGTCCGAGGGACTTCCGATCCGGTTGAATGTTGGCAGAATTTGCCGCCTCAGATGCGCTTCTTCAGCCAACAGAAAACGAATTCTAAAATCTAAGACAATTAATTAGGTTCCCTTCCGTGGCCGACTTGAGCTTCCACTGTTGTTTTTTTTTTTTTTTATTTACTTTCTATTACTGAAGTTTGCTGGGAATCTTTCCTTCCACTTCACAGTTCTTTGTCATTTCCACTTCTGTTAATGGATCTAAAGGACCGAGTCCTTTGGACCAAGGTAGGGTGTCAGACTGCTCACATCCTGCATCCGGCTCTCAACAGGAGTCATCTTCTTTTGTTTCTTGGGTTTCTCCCTCACACTGAATCTTTATTTATTTATTTTCTCCCTTTTGGAGTATCTGTCTCTAATAAAAGGGATAAATGATACAGTATTTTCTTTTAAAAGGTTTCATTCCCCCCGTGTATTTTTCAACGTCTCCCCTTTTCTAGGTTATATTTCTATTACCTGCAAAAATGTGTTGATATTTTGTTGCAAGATGTTCAAGACAATGCTGCTGCTTTGCTTTGTCATTTAAAGTGTGTGTGGTGGGTGTTAGAGTCCTTTTTTCTCTCCGTGAGGTTCAGGATATCCTTCTTTTCTAAATCAAATTTTCATGCTTATTCATCAGGCCACAGATCTAAGTCATCTTTGCTTATTGAAGGAGAAATACCAAGCACTGTCATCAAATAAAATGAAAACCGACAGGATAAAACACTGTCTCCAATGCAACTAAAACCACTTACTTGGTGAGCTTCTACTCCTCAGATTATAGACCCAGACAGCTCAGATGTTAGGTAATAGGGATAATAATTTAGAAAGAAAAAAAAAAGCCCTTAAAAAAATGCAAGGAACAAATGAAATATTTGTAAAATGATCTATGCATAAGATGCAGCAAACTCATCCCAGATGGAAAATATCACAGATGTGAGTCCTCTTTGCTTTGTCCCAGGCAGACAAGTGCAAAAAAGCAGAGAAACAAAGGTAGATTTCTTTGGAGATAATTGTTTTTAAAGATTACACACACACACACACACACACACACACACACACACACAGGGGATATAGGTCAGCGGTAGAATGATTACAAACAAACAGAAATCCTAAATCCAAAATTATTCCCCAAAACCAAGAATTTGACATTTGTGAGACAGTGCTGTAACTTCCCATGCCTTGCCTGTCATAGAATGCTGTTTTTAAGGAGCTAAGTAATGAAGGGAGTAGATCAGAAAAAAGTAAATTCAAAATGTAGAGGGCCAAACAGTCTGTTTTAGGCTCTCTGACAAGTGTAGCAACTTTGAGTTACATTCTGTCCAGGATCAATTTTCTTTCCAAGTAATGCTTTCCACACCCAACTCCCAAAGCCATTTGCTGGTATCTTCTTTGGAAAGATAGGGGTGGAAAATTTTCTGTCTGCTGCAAAACTTCCAATTGTCCCTGCCCTTCAAAAATAACAAAGGCCTTTATTTCTTCACATCATAGTTACATGGCCCTTCAGAAAAGTGATTCTATGTATCAGCTCCACCTTTTTTAGGGGAGGGGGGGAGAGTACTGGGGCTTGAACTCAGGGCCTACACCTCGAGCCACTCCAGCAGCTTTTTTTTTTTTTTTTGTGATAGGATTTTTTTGAGATAGGGTCTAGCAAACTACTTGCGCAGTCTGGCTTTTGAACTGCAATCCTCTTGATCTCTGCCTCCTGAGTAGCTAGGATTACAGGCATGAGTCTCTGGCACCCAGCTAACTCCACTTTTTCAATTGCTACTTATTTTGGCTAAGTCCCAGGTTTGTCTAGTTGAATTACATCTGATGTCAGGCCAGATCTGAAAATGGTCACCTTTGTGGTGCCACAATCCTGTGGTTGTAATGAAACTCCAGCTGCAAGAATTACTTATTCAAGACCAGAAAGGGCGGGTTTTAGTATGTTTCTCTTTTGGGCCTCTCTTTTACCAGACAGTTTTGACATTGTAACATCAAGGACTTGGGATATCCAATTGCCAGATTGCTGTTGACTCTTGTTCATCTTTGCCTGGGGAGTTGGATCATTCACCAAATAGGAACATTCTTATCCCTTAAAATACTTTTAAATATTATGAAAGTCAGAGATTGAAGAGGAAGGCCATGTTAGAATCATGTTTCATGTGCAGGTTCCATTCTATAGATATGAATTATATGAAAGATTCAATCATTGAATCGGTTTGACCCTTGTTGGCTAAGAGTTTTATTAGTTAGCTATTGTATAACAAATATATCCAAAATTTACCAGCTTAAAATAACAAACCATATCTCACAGTTTCTAAATGTCAGGAATCTGAGTGTGCTAAGCTAGGCCCTTAGGCTTACAGTCTCTCCCAAAACTGCAACCAGGGCTTGGTCATGGCTGTGGTTACCTCAGGGCTCCATTGAAGACCTGCTTCCAAATTCACATGGCTGCTGTTGGCCAGAGCCATCAATTCCTTGCCATGTGTGCCTCTCATAAGGCCACTCAAATTTTAGCACCTAGCTTCTTTCAGAGCAAAAGCTCAGAAAGAGAGAGTGCAAAAGATGGGACTCAAGATGGAAGCCACAGTCTTTCTGCAACTTAATCTTGGCAGTGACATCCTGTCATTTTTGCCATAGTCTATTCAATAGGATAAATCTAACCATATTATCAGTGATTACACGAGGGTGTGAGAGTCCTTTGGAGGGCAGGAATCACAGCATCTCAGAGTTTGCTTCCTACCAGGGCTATTCATTCCTTCTTTGCCAGAGGATTATGAAGATGAGGCCACAGAGAGAAACAACTCTTGGGTGTCTGACCTCAGAGATTCTAGAGAAAGGTTACAAATAAAAATATAGTGTGGGCTGGTTATAATGCCACTTGCAGCTATTAGAGTCAGGACAGAACCCTAACTCTGGCCAACTGTTGTTTTCAAACACATGTCTTTCAGTGTGGAGGAAGTTGATTAATGAAAGACCAGCAGCAATCCTGGGGAAAAAAAACCCTCCAAGGGCAGAGGATGAGCAGTTCCAAGGAATAAAATCTGTTCTCAAAAGACAGCATTTAGACCATACACAGTCTGAAAGAAACTTGGGCCAGCTGGGCTATGAGGTGAAAGCACTGTGGGTAATTGTCACCTGTCTTCAGTGCCATTCTGTGCAGTGCTGAGGTGTAGGATGGTTGCTGGGGTGGTTCATACAAACTAGTGATGACTGCCTCAGGCAAGTCACTTAGCTGCCCTAAGTGCCCCAGGGTGCTGTGAGGATAGTGGTATAAGATTTACAAATGCTTTGTGATGCAGGGTGAAAACTCTTCAAGGTAGCCTTCTGGTTTGGTGATATGGATGCAAAGCATGGAGATAAAACAATAGGCCAAGTTAGCTGCTTATTTCATGGCCTTGGCTCTTTGCTGAGGTTGGTAAATGTTTAACAATGACTCTCCAGGAAAAAAGCTCCAAACTGTACATTTGCCAATTTCCAGGGTGTAAATACTGCTACCATGGCTGATTTTATGCCAACATGATGTCACTGAACTTGGAGTTGGGAAAAGATACACATAAGTAGCTCTACAAGATAGAGCTGGCTCA